ACTTTGATATTGCCTCACTGTTCTTGCTTCCTTGTGTTCAATTTGAAACCATCTATTATTTTCCACTTAGTCAGTAAACATTTTAGAGCAAAAGCTGTTTTCTTAACAGTTTACACAGTGGGGTCTTGAACTCAAACTAAGGCCTCTAGATATGATATTAGACAAAATTTTACTCAAAAATCTTCTCAAAACCTTAAAATGTTTGCTATTAAAACAGCCAACCTGAACCAAAATGATCACAGTTCTACTGCAAAAAAACTAAGTTTACAACACAAATGTGAAAGGTTGTTACTCACTGTATAAAGATCTGTTGAGAGTGTCTCAATTGAAGGCTTAAGACTTTCAACTGCTTTTAACCCATCCTGAAAGAAACTTAAAAAGAAAACCAAAAAGCAAACTGTTATTAAACTTTAATTTGTATTTTCTGTTTAAAAAGTTGCCAAAGGAAGACATGCATATTATTATGCCATGCCATAAACTTCAAAACATTAACATCTATTTTTTATGCATTTTTGACTGATCTACCTCTTTATTTCCATTGTAGCTTATTCCAACATGCAAAATCCCCAATTAGATTCAGAACTGCCACAATCCATTGCCATAGAAGTTTGCCTCATTCTCACCTCAAATACAGGTTCTCATGCCACTTTTTGAAGGCCCAGAACAAGCAAGATTCATTTGTAGAACATCAAAAGCTCTAGTGGATATAAAATAATTGTGACTTCTTGGAGTCCATTAATTTTCCTTCTGATACTGTCTTCCTACTAAAGGAAAACCCCTTTGTTTCCCAAGCATTAAGGCTTATATGCAAACTGAATATGCTACGTGTTACTGTATCATATGTATTTTTGTATTGGCACAGTAATGTTACCTATGCCAGCTCTTTAAAAAAAAAGTGAGATTTAGAAAATAAACCACAACTACACACACATTTGATTAAAAACTGCTGCATCATTTGCAATAGAAAGTATTTTCACTCTGGGAAGCAGACACGAAAGTGACAACACAACACTTACATTGAAATTTTATTAGATGGACAGAGAAGATGAATGACATACTACAAGTAAAACTGATTTTAAAAGCAATATAGCTATATAGGGAAGAATACCTACATAGATACAGACTAGTCTTTTAAGATGAAAGCTTACTGATTTGAACAAGTAACACAGTGGCTCTTACAAGTTTATAGCTGTGACCGTATTGCTGTATTACTGATCTCTCAGACTACCATAAATAAAAAATTATTCTAATGAGAACTTTGTGTTTTATTACCAAGTCCTTCAATTAATTAGAAAAAGTGATTCTTTCAATATAGTTTTATCCCACTGCTTATGCAATGCATTTTTCTTGAGCACAGAATTAATTTAGATCTCTAGATACACTCAAAAAAGCCTGTCAAAACTAATGGACCACTAACTAATAGACCAAGCTAATAGCTTTGTTTCAAGAGTAGTTTATAAAATATGCCAAATTATTGTGCAGCACTCCTTTGGAACAGACAATTACACTCTTTGGGACTAGCTCAATCTCAGAATATGTTTCAAATACAGTAACAAAAGCAATGACTAATCTATGACAAAAGCAATTTGTCAAAAGACATCAGTGAGAACAGTTGAATCTTAAGCTTTTGAAAAATCTAGAAAAATGTTATGATGATGTTGGAAGTTTAAAACAAAACATTGCTCCAGTTAATGTGTAGATATAAAGAAAATAAAACATACTTGCATTGAGCATGAAAATACTTGATCAAGTTCTGAAGCAAGTCCACTCCTTTTTTAATCTTGATTTCATTGACTTTCAGCAGGTACTGTTAAAACAGTAATTCACAACAGAAACTATTACTGCTACAGTATTTTTTAACATTTTATTTTCAGTTATATTCTGACAAGCTTTAACAGTTGCAAACTTGGAAGACCTAAAAGAGAATGCCTGAAGCAGTGGCTTCAAGGGTTAAGGACACAAAAGCAATTGTTGTCACTGCTGATTTTGATGCCTGGTGGGGGGGGATACTTCACTATCATTTAGCCCAAATATTCAAAACATCATTCATGGCTCCTAGTGGAAGCCTGTGTTAAAGGAAGCAGTAAAAAGGTTTGTGTAGTAAATTTAGCAATCCATTCTTAAGCCTAGCAGCCCATCTAGGTATCTGTCTCACTAGTTGTTAAATTCATTGCCAAGTAGATGTCATTAAGGAAGAAAAATAGCTTTCTCAAAACCAGTAAGGGATTATTTTAACCATATTTTAAATCTGCCCTCTGATTTTGTTTTCTCTATCAATTCCCTATACATAGTAATTACAGCAAATTACAGTTTAGCAAGAAATTTTAGAAATCTAATGCCAAGCTACAAAAAAACCCAGAGTGTAATTAGTGTCCTTTTGCATCAGGCACAAAGTCAGTATTAAGTGACAGCTCCTCCCTGGAACGCCATAGCACAGATGATGTCAGCATGCAAGCAGAAGTAAGACTGACCAAATATTTACAGGAGTCCTTAACTGTCCATTAAATAAAAACAATTTTTAATCCCTGTTTTGACAGTGACCTCCAAGTAAAGGAGTGAATGTCTTCCTAGCAAAATTCTAATGCATCTGGCTTTCCCCTATATGCAATATACCCTAAATATTTTAACCCACTAAAATAAAGCAGTACCAAATGTCAGCTTTCAATGTTGCAGTTTTTTATGCTGGTTCAGGTGAACAGATAATTAGCCTAAACGTAGACATGTGTGCTGGATAGTATTCAGTTAGTTTGAAGAATCACCTCTCCAGCTCCTGTTAATTTAAAATGGAGCTCAAAGGCATTTGGTATTCAGTTCACTTTCACAATTTATGGAGAACTAGCCTATACTTATGACAGGATTTCAGTATGTCACACTTTTGGTTTACTATCAGAACAAAGTACCCTCTTAGGACTATTAAGAGGTAACCAAGTATAAACTTATTTTCCAAAAAAAACCTCAGAAGAAATACAGGATACACTTCAGCCATTCCACATTAAGGTAACTTGATCCATTTTATTAACACTACAAACAACTAAAATGAAGTCCTCCTTTACTGTGACATGGGAAGAGAGATGCATCTGTTCTCAGTTGTTTCTTAGCAAGGATATAGATGGGCAATTAGCTGGCAACATCCATGTATTTATTGGGTACTCAAATCCCTACATCAATTTTGAATACTTTAATCTGACTCTGTATAGGAATGTGAAGCTTTTCTACTAAGTATCTGTGCATGCAGTTGCTAAAAATAGTATTCAGGGCAACTGCTGTTAAGCTATGTTGGCGTATGAATCAAATTAGCTCTACTAATCTTAGTAAAAACAGAAGAAACACCCATGGTATATTTCTGAGTTAAGGCATAGAAAGAATGAACACGGCAACCTGAATTCCCAACCATAGAGTCTGCAATACCCTTAAATGAATCAAACAAAAAATATTCACATCAGATTTGATATACTGCAAGAATCACAAAGATTTCAAAGTAGAAACATTCTGAAACATCTTGAAAGACAACTGGATTCCATCCTTAGCACATTTTTTTCAGCACCAGCCGAACAGCGTGCTAGACTGGAGTCTCTCCTCGTAATAACACAACAGCTGTCAGCATAAGGAACAATTCAGAGAATGTTCTAGTGCTTAAAATAACTTATAGTGAAGTAGTAGTGTAAAGGTTTATTTATTATAATCCCTAAGTGTTTAACTGAGCTTTGTATTATTTCTTTATTCTACAATTCATTTGCTAAGTGAAATTAGAAAAGACTTAAATTCCCTGCAAAGTTAGCACATCAGAGTAAAAAAACAGTGTTTTACCAATGGAGTCCACTAATAACGTGGCACTTCCCTTTAAAATCACAGTCACCACTAAACAACTGGGTCTTTCAAAATTTTCCTAAAAATATTAGCAGAACAATATAAATTTCATACCAAATCTTACCTCACACATTTGTAACTGGAAAAACCTTCTTTCTTTCTCCATCTCTTCTGCAATTTCAGCTCCACTTATTTCTGTACGGATCATCCCATGCAGCTTAGCATGCTCTTTTTTCTCCTTCTCTATTTTTGTACTATAAGGCAAACAATCAGTCAATGAAGTGAGAAATCCACAGCCTCTCAGGAAATCTGACTATTCACAAAGTCTACTGACAGATGCAAAGCCAAAGTCTTGTAGCTTTGAATATGACTTACTTCCAGATGACACTTCATTTGAAATTTGACAATGACTAAAGATCAGCACTGACATACAGTAGCTGAAATCTAATTCAATCATCTGTTACAATAATGTCCTGATAGATATTCCAAAAGAAGGTACTAAGTGAGTGGAGGATTCTAAGTTCTTCCCTGAAACAAAAAAAAAAAATAATCCAGAAACAAAAAACCGAATTTTAATTGAAAATGTAGGGGATATTTAATCCCCACAGACCAAACACTGGTTAACAGAGTTCAATTATGTCATCGGATTTATTGAGTCTTGCCTGTCATCAAGTCATCTTCTATATATACAGGGTTTCCTAAGCCAAAATCACAGTTGCCATCTCTACTTGCTGCTGAGCCAGTTGGCACTGGGAATGCCGGCCGGCCGGCTGTGTTGCAGACTTCAAAGTCTGCTAGACCAGCTGTCCTAATTCCCTGAAAGTTTCCATGAACATTTTCCAAGAGTTCTGAATAAAACAGGTTCTCCTGCAGAATGTAAATGAATAACCAATGCTGACACACAGTGTAACTCCCTTAAACACACTTAGGCATGTTACAGCTAATTCTCCATGTTATTTCTAAAAGCAGTAGCATAATCATACTATCCAGTTAGACGAGCCTGATATGAAAAAAAGATACTATTAAAAGAAACATATGAGGGTGTTTACTTTCTGGAGAAAGACTTTTAGTTTGCCACTTGTACTGTTTGGAAGCTGAAAATTCTGGAAAGAGCTTCCTGAGGAAATGCTACACTGCTTTTGAACAGGAGGAAGCATTACACAGAAATACAGGAAGCAGAAGAGAGGAACAAATAACACACACACTGCTGTACCTCCTTTTGGGCAGTCAAGTGTCTCTCAGCTGTCTCTCTGAAAAGATGACATGTCTCAAGTGCCCTCTTAACCTGATGTTAACGTTACCCAAACAGCTTACAGGAAAACATCCTAGATGGTCTAAGGACTTCTAGTCAACAACATATTCTGTACTTACAATCCTCAAAAAGGAGGAACTGCCTCCTCTTACACCTCAAGCAGCAAGGGAAAACTAGAACTAATCCCATTAATCTCACCCCAGAACATTCCCACAGGGAAACATTTTGAACAGCAATTCAAAAAGCCCAACTGCGCTCTCAGTACTGGCAGGCACAACAAAGCCAGCCCTGTGCAGGATTCCAGCACCAGCACATCTAGCCAACACTGCACTCCTCAGCCCTTCGTGTCCCGCCAGAAGCAGACATTCAGAAGGAAGCACCTCTCCTTTAAATAAATACTCTGAAAACCTTCACTTGCCTAAATAAAATCTCAACTAACTCCAGAATGCTGTCTTCATCAAAAATAAGCCTGTACTCTTACTCACTGCCCATTATGCCATTTTGTAGCCAGAGAATACAGAGTCCAAGCATAAGAACTAACCAGACATCAACCGTGAACAAGAAAGATAAACCATTACAAAAAGCTCCACAGAAAACAACAAATAAGCAGCTGCTTTCTAGCACACACTCTAGGAGAGTTTATATCATACTTGATAGTTCTAAAAGATTCACACCTCAGAGCAAAGATCCACCATAGTTTTAGTTCTCTGTTTCCACGTTAACTTAATTCACGAGACCATAGAATTCACTGAAATGTAAGTCAAGTCTAATAACTATCAACTGCCACTGTATTTATTTTCACTGTTAACAGAGAACAATACCCAAACATGGGATGACGCAATCACCTCCAAAATTTTAAGAGCTTATTAATATGTCATGAGGTGTCTCTAATGCTCATTAAAGCAAAGGATGACTAATACTGCCGAAGAGTCAAACATTATGCACGATATTACAGCATACATAGTTTTAATAAATTTAATTCCTTTTAAAGAGTGAGCTAGATTGTGCTGAAAGAGTCCTTGCCATCATAGAATCACAGAATAGTTTGGGTTGGAAGGGACCTTAAGGATCATCTAGTTCCAGTCCTCTGCCACAGGCAGGGACACCTTCCACTAGACCAGGTTGCTCAAAGCCCTGTCCAACCTGGCCTTGAACACTGCCAGGGATGGGGCAGCCACAGCTTCTCTGGGCAACCTGTGCCAGTGCCTCACCACTCTCATAGTGACAATTGTTTTCCTAATATCTAATCTAAATATACTCTCTTTCAACTTGAAGCCATTACCTCTTATCCTGTCACTACATGTCCTTATAAAAAGTCTCTCTCACCACTTCTTAAATCATACTCCACAGGCAAAAAATAGTTAAACAGAGACTAAAGCATATTGAGATCTACCAAGTAATTCAGAGAAATAAGCCATCCTTGAAGCCATTTGCTGGAGCTTCAGGCTCCATGGCATCAAAAACTTCAGAGATGCTTTACAAAATAAACCAAACCACCTCTCAGTTAACAAGTACTAAAGATACATGATGGTGCATTTCACTTTTGCATTTCATTATTATTTATTATTTTAGTCTCTAACTAGATTTTCAGCTTTGTAACCCAGAATTTAACCTGTTCTTTTGCTACAGTACTAGACTACCTCCTATCTGACTGATACTACAAAGCACTTTGTTTCTAGGGAAACAAAGAAACCACGTACAGCAGTGTTGCATTCGTATCTTCTGATTGCTACATGTGGGCTGTGCTTCCTATGAAAATGTTAGAGATGACTCAACTTCAGGTACTATTCTGCTGTGGCAAAGACAATTCTATGCTGTATCACTGTGAGATTGCCAAATATTGCAGGGCATTCAATGTTCCAGACAGATCAACTGTCCTGGGTCCAGCTACAGCAGTCATTTTTTCTCCTTCTTAGTAGCTGGTGCAGTGCTGTGTTTTTGACTTTCAGTCTGGGAACAATGCTGATAACACCGATGGTTTTAGTTGTTGCTAAGTAATGTTTAATCTGACCAAGGACTTTCTCAGTCTCATGCTCTGCCAGAGAGGAGGGGAAGCCAGGAGGAAGCAGAGACAGGACACCTGACCCAAACTGGCCAAAGGGCTATTCCATACCACACGGTATGTCATGCCCAGTATATAAACTGGGGAGAGTTACCCGGAAGGCCCAGATCGCTGCTCGGGTCGGGCTGGGTATCGGTTGGCGGGTGGTGAGCGGTTGTGTCCTCTCCCCTTGTTATTTCCCTTATCATTATCATTGGTAGCAGTAGTGGTTTGTATTATACCTTAGTTACTGGAGTGCTCTTATCTCAACCCGTGGGAGTTACATTCTTTCGATTCTCCCCCCGATCCCTCCGGGAGCGGGGAAAGGAAGAAGAGGGGAAGTGAGCGAGCGGCTGCGTGGTTCCAAGTTACCGGCTGGGCTTAAACCACAACAAAATTAGTAAGAAAATTGGGAAAACACTAAAAAAATCCTCTAGAAGCAATAAGGAAACAAATGTTTTGTAAAGCTGCTATTTTTGAAGCTCATGCCGCACATGTATCACATACACAGACTCTGCTGACTAAGATATAAAACTGAGCACACTGCAGTCCATTTACAATGCAGCTGCACTAATACGCAGTGAGCTCATATCTGTGTAACAGACAAGTGAAGCTGAAATACAGGGTAAAGAATTACAGAGAAGTCGAACAGATACAAAATAAACAGTCTTGCCCACTCACTTGCTACTACATGGCTATTTTTACAGCTCCAATTTGAAAAGCAACTATTTTTCAATATCAATTTTAATTAGTATTTCAAAGAAGTCAATTTTGTCATATAGATCGTGGTATAAATAAACATCAAAGTAGGCATATTTATTTTTTAAAACTTTAAAAAGGATGAGGCCTATTTTCCTGTTTAACACACCAGAGACTGGTATTCATTTTCAGCCAGTGAACAAGGGTAAACAACTAGAACACACTGTGTATGTGCAGCAGCAGTGAACTGGCTGGCTGGGCAGCAACTCTTTCTTGCTTTTTCTCTTTCCCCATACAGCAGTAAGCCAGGCTGACTCTGGGTACGGACGTCAGAAGGTGCAGGGACTGGGAATAACACCTCGAAGGCAGACTCAAATAGAGAGCACTCTGGAAAATGGAAGGCTTCCAAGGGTTATTATGTTTGACAAAATAATATTATACATTATAATTTCAAGTATCCTTTCTTTGTCTAGTCTTCCTTTTCAGCCTGACTCTCCAAGTTCAGCTCTGACACTCTAGCCTTTCAGTGAAAGAGCCTCCATCTACTGTCTGCCAAGGTTGACGGCAGGATATCTTATCACCCAAGTCCTGAAGGGAGAAGTTATCTTTTCCTTTTGGAAACACAAGAAAGCTTTCCCTTTCACTCCTGCACTGGAGGATTAGGGAGAAGAGGGCAGAATAAGCAAAACGTGCCCAGATCTTTGCAGTATTTCATCCCTAATATCTGCGAATTCATTCAAAGCTTCTTCCATTTAATTAGAAGGTAATCTCTTTCAAAATAAAAATACTTAACATGAAAACTCAGGCTCAAAGCAGTATATTGTGGATATGGTTTATGTAGATTTTAGTAAAGCCTTTGATACCATTTCCCAAGCATAATTCTGGAGAAATTGGCTGCTTATGGTTTAGATGGGTACACTCTTTGCTGGGTAAAAAACTGAATGGATGACAGAGCTCAAAGAGTTGTGGTGAATGGAGTTTAACCACTACTAAGTCACTACTAAGGTTCCCCAGGGCTCAGTACTGGGGCCAGTTCTGTTCAGTATCTTTATCAGTGACCCGGATGATGGGATTGAGTGCACTCTCAGTAAATTTGCAGATGACAGCAAGTCAGATGGAAATGCTGATCTGCTGAAGGATAGGAAGACTCTGCAGAGGGATCTGGACAGGCTGATTGATGGGCTGTGACCAATGCTATGAGGTTCAACAAGGCGAAGTGCCAGGTCCTGCACTTGGGCCACAACAACCCCACGCAATGCTAC